GCTAATACAAATCTTATTGTCAAAAGAAGAGTTTAAAGAATCGATATAAATTTTGAGTAAGCTCATTTGAAGTCAGTTAATTGAGTATTTATTCAAAAAAGAGAGCACGCTTGCTTAACAGCACACTAATAGGGACAGTTACCCTACGCGCATTTTCTTTATTTGCATCGCATTATTATTGCGTTCATATATAATATTGCGCGTGATTAATTTCATTGTGTTAATTAAGTTTTTTTTTAACCGATCAAAACCAAAATCTGTACTGATGTAAAAAATGTGTGTAAGAAATAAGAAACATTCTCTACAACAGACGTTTCATTTCATTATCGCCGCCCAGGTCATGAACGATTATTAAAAACAAAACAAAACACGATTGAAATAAGTTTTTATAAATAAATCGAATCGAACGTGTATATCTCGTTTACGTTGTTTTTTTTATCATTCATTTACAAGAAAAAAACTATTTGCAAAGTAAAACCCGACACTGATTTGATATCATCTTAAAAAAAAAAAGCAAAGCGCTGATAATGCGATCGTTGTTACAAAGAAGAAACCGAGGTTCCTTGCCCCTCGAGAAATCCGTGATAAAAGGGGTCAAAGATTGAAATAGTCGTTTGTAGAAGCAACCACAGTACATCGATTCCCTCGGATGCGTGTGCACGGATGTGACGTGAGAAAATGATCGTTGTCGGGCGTAAAACACCATGGTTGATCGGAGTGATCGCGATGCTCGTTTTTCTCGCGAGCATATCGTTGTCGGAATCACTTGGGTGTGTGAAAAGTTTCAGACGTGACAGATTTTTCAGAAGATCGAGGATGAGAATCGTCGACGACGACGAGGAGCGACCCGTGATCGCGCCGGTGGTCATAAAAATGATAGAGCATCCCGATAAACGCAACGAGAGCGGCGTTTTGTCGTTCAATTGCACCGACGACTCTTGCACGACAGAAGACGAGAAACTCGATCTCGACATTAGTAAGTTGCAAGACACTTTACTTCCCGACGAGGAGTCGTTGCGCTACATCGTGATTCCGAAGAAGTACGAGCACTTCGTGTCGAAAAAAAACACGGGATCGAACAGATACAAACGCGACGTGAAATCCAATTTCACGGGGACGAACAGTGACACAAGTAAACCGTTGAAAAACCAAAGCAAGATCGGAAGAGTTCCGCTGTACAGAAGTTACACGAGGATCGTGCGTCCTTCGACATCCTCGAGCGAAGTCGACAGAACGAAACGAAGTATCGACTACTATCCGTCGCGAGCTAGAAACGCGAGCGATTATTACGCGCAGCGTAGAGCCGTAATGGAAAGATACTTCGCTCGGCAGCGCGAAATAAACGCGCGATACGCCAACAAAACCGGCTCGATATCCAGCAGCAACACCACTCAACTCAGCTTCCGGCATCTCGATAAAAACGCGGCGGAGAAGGACGCGACTTTTCGTCATCCGTCCATGAAGATCGATCTGATATATAATGGCAATGAATCACGGAACACAATACCAAACAAGTTGGACAATCGACGAAACTCCATTCCGGAAACCGACCTTGGCTTCAAGTCCGATCCGAGTTTATCGCAAGCGCGAAGCAGCGATAATGTCGAAAGAAACGCGTTGGAGTATTACGTAACACCTTGCCCGAACATATCTGGCACTTTTGCGCCGAAAACGCGGCCGCCGAAAAACCGCACTGACGATAACGTAAGTTATAACGATTCTATAACGATACGTGTAACCACGTGGTGTTCGTAATCGAGATCGTTTTGAATTATTGTTACAAAAAAAAATAAAATAAAATAAAATTGTTTTTCAGAGCACCGATCACGTTATATGGGGAACGTGCGAAGGAAAGATCGTGTATCAACATAACTTGCTCTTAAGCATAACGGGCCCATCCACTGTCGACACCGAGTTTGAGGTGATACTCGAAAGTCCGCTTTGTATCACTTGCGTGGAGGTGATCCGATTTAACCAAACCAGAGCGAACGTTACATTAAATTCTGGTGGACGTGGCAAAGAATGTGCAAAACTATTGTTGCGAGGTTACGAAAACGAGGGATTTTATTACATAATAAAAATTTGGGGTGTTCAGAAAATTGATCAGAACTGTAGTAACGTAGACTAGTCACACGAGGCGCGACAATCGTTCGATCGAACAAACCGATTTGTTTTTTGTAAAAATTTATTTTTTTACATATATGTGACTACAAAAACATTTTTGATAGAAAATTTATATTTCGTAAACACACACACACACACACACATATATATATACGTACATATTAATAACGTGTTATACAATGACGATTCGAATTTCTTTAAACTGCGACGAAAATAAGCGAATATGTAATTCGGAAGTACAAACATAAAAATAATAACTATACGTAAAGTACATCACACAAAGGTCACGAAGAGAACACTATAAAAAAAAAATAGTTTCATAAAAAAATAATCTCTGAATATATATGTCCTCTAGTATAACATTATACAATATATAGACACTAACATACAAACGATATTTGTAATTCAATCAGAGACATTGTCGTACCAATTGGAACAATTAGACGAACTACAATGATAATTAAAAAAATGCCAATTATATTTGCATATAAGAATAATACCCATAAGCTAATGAATGTTATTATTATCTATGAACACGTAACAAGAAATGTATAAATCGTTTATCACGTATAAACCTATTGTTTTTTTTTTAAGTGTAAGAAACCTACTTTTGGCATCGTTGTGGATTTCTTTTTTTTTTTTCTTGTCATTCGTCGTGTAATTTAGTTCCTGTTATTTCCTCAAGATTTTTTTGGCACGGAGGTCGGAAGAGGCGGCGGCGGTACGTCGGGTACCGTCTGTTTATTGTTGTTTTTTTTCATTCTCTCCTCGTCGTGAAAACTCGGTAACAAAATGCTGGTTTTCTTCTTCGGGTTGGTCGCCGGAATCGGTTCCACGGTGCTGAAAAGCTTGTAATCGACATAATAGGTGCCGGGCACGTAATGCGGATTGAAGCTGTTGTAAGTGTAGACGTACGGCACGTAGTATCGAGAACGATAGTTCGGATAGAAGCTCAGCGGTTCCGGTTTCTTCGGGGAGTTGTTCGTCGTGTTGTCGCTCTTCGACTCGTCGTTCTTGTTGCGTTCTGTGGTTGCGCGTTCTTTTGCAATACCGAAACTCGTCGATTCGACCAGACGCGACGAGGAAGCCTGCGTTTGATCGTTCCGGAGAACCTCACCTCCAGATAACGGGGGATAATGCACCACTTCCGACACGACGGAGTGAGGCGTTATCTGTGTGTAATAGATCCCCGGCGCGTAGGCGGTTCGGTGAATTATCGGTTGTATCACCGGGATCGCTCGCGACGGCGACAGATTCTGATTGCTTGTGATCACTGCGTTATAAACCCTCGGTACCCTGAGAAGACCCGGCGCGGCGGCAGCGACGGCTATCAACGCGCACACGATCAGTAGCTTCATCTAAAAGAATGTTTTATTTTTTGTTTTTTGTTTTTATTTATTTTACAGTATAAACTTCTTTTGTGAAATATTATTACAGTACAAACACTTCTTTTCTGAAATATCATTTTATTTCTTAGTCTGCAAAGGTTTTTTTTGACACCTTCTATCTGCGAAACCAGGGTCGCTTATGTTCCACTGTATTTTTCTATATGTTTAAAGTCGTGAAAAAATTCTGAAAAAATTCATGTAGTATCTTTTAAACCTTCTACTTTACAGATCGATCGAAACATTTTGAAAAAAAAAATGGGCGGGTTCGGGATTCCTTTTTCCTTTTCTCGTGAGTTATAAACGATAGATTTTGCGCGGACCCTGGTTTGCAGATTCAAATTTTACGCAAGACAATAAATTCGCTCAGCGAAAAAAGTTTACAGGCAGAAAAAACGTCAATTGCACAAATGAGAATCGATGGTTTAATAAATAGGAAGATACACGTGTGGTTTAAAGACGTGGAAACTGCGCGAGAGGAAAAGATGGGTGTGTTTCTTTATGTGCGACACCATTATTGTTTCTGGAAAAGGTAATCGACACACACCGATGGCGCAACCGAGTACGGGTAGAGTGTAATCTCGCGTGCGAGCGTGTAAAATACACGGCGCCGCATATAAACGAACCGAAACCGTACGCGTGTACAGAATGCTTACCCCGCCGCATTTATAGGTGTGTACCTCGAGATCGAGTTATATCGCGTCTATAGCGGATTCCTATCGTGTTTGAAGTTCAAGCTCCCAGAGTAACAGAGCGTTACAAGGCCGGTATGCTGAAACACAGCCAATCTATAAATAAACGTTAATTTTACAAGCTTTGTTACGATTAATTGTCGTAAACAACAATAGATTGTTATCAATGCCGATAATTTTTGTTACAAAAACATGTAATTTAACAAACATGATTGTTACATCAAATTAAAACAAAGGTCTAGTGCATTTATGTTTTTTCTTTTTACCGCAACTTACAATAACAATGTTTTCGGAAAAATGATAAATTTTTCGATTTTCTATTATATTTAACAAAAAAACGTTCAAATTAATAGATAAAAAAAAAAACCTGGAAATGTTCTAAACCGTCCTGCACAGAGATAGCAGAAAACAGGCGTTCGAAAGCAGAAAAGCAAGAAGAGAAGATTGAGAGTATAATTAAGTTTATTTCGCGTGCGAAGGCGTGCAGGCGAACAAGAACGCGAGGTGCATTGATGGCATTGCGATGAGTCACCTTATTAGTATTCGCGGCTTTCATTTGCACGTATCACTTCCTACTTCTGATAAAGCCTCGCGTTCACTTTGTCGAATCCCGTCGCGATTCTGCAAAAATGGAATCCTCTCTGCGAAACAATATCACTCTCTTTCTCTCTCTTGTACTCACCTTTGCGTTATCAGCTTCTCCGTTGCGAGTTTCCTGCACGGCAAGGATCACCGAGAAGCTGACACCACAAGTAGCAAGAGCGCTGCATGGGCCCGTAGTATATATGGCCCATGGGGTTCCAGGGTTCACAAGTCCCACCTCTCCCACTACGGACAACTCTCCGGCGAAAGTACTCTCCGATCGGTAACTATAATGTTCAACTTCGGACAAGCTTTTATATCACTGGTGGAACTGTAGAAGGACAACAGCCGTTTGCCGGGTTTGTTTCTTCGTCGGAGATGCATCGGTTGCAACGAATCGACTTCTAAAATACCACGCGGAAAAGTCACGACTTGCTTGTTTGTAAAATTGGAACGGACAGGTGCGAACAATTCGCAGAATATTCGCGAATAGTCATTATTATACGGTTGCATGTAATAAAACGCGCATATATATAATTAATGCAAGATGCATGTATCTTAACGTGTATAAAGTACTTTTCATTGAATAGTTTTTGTTTTTTAATTTGTTCGAATTAATTTCGCCGCGCGTGGAAAAAACGTGAAGTAGAAAAGCTAAATAAAATTCTTTTTTGTACTCACGCTGAGTTATACTGCAATCGTAAACTTTCGCGGTGCAATTTGTGCGGTTACGGGAATCGTTATTACCGCCATAATGTTTGCACGTCAAACGTTACGAACGTTAGACAGACAAACGGACATACGCTCGCACGCATACATGAATAAGCAACTTCTGAAAGCTTCATATTTTATTATATACACGTAGAGACAATTAATCACTTCTAACACATGAATCCGTTAGAAATGTTCCATTTACGAAACATTCAATCAGAGATCAAGGTGACACATACTAATCATCCGCCTTTCCACAGCTGTACATGCACATGTAACACTTAAGTTTTTATAACTAAAGCGATAATAATACATCGAGCTTGTCTCTGTTACAGAGGGTGGTTTACCTTGAAAATTGTGTTTCTTAATTTACCTTCTAATTGTACGGGCGTTGCTGCATGCATTGTTTGTTCTTGGAAAACAACACACGCGGAAAATGATGACTAAAATTGATTTTTTTTTTACATAACGTTATGCTGTAAACGTACTATATCGAATATTTTTGTCGCAATATTGATTTTATGATTTCTCGCTAACATCTGTTACGCTTTCGTCATCGTTGTTACACAAGTGCGTACAAGACGAACGATAAACTGGCTGCAAAAGCATGTCAATTATTATTTTTCTAATCGAACTACGTAAATCTTTGCGCAATAATTAAAATAATATGTATATTAGTAAAACCATTTCATGTTTGTCATTGTTACTACGTTACATTGTAAATTACGTTATTATTAACATAATTGGATGCTTATAAATGTTACATCGATCGTTTTATGATCATCTAGCATTCAATGAGAATCGGTGTTCGATCTGGGTCAGATCGATTCGATCGGTATGTAGCAGATTCTCCGCAGCAGCAAAATCGGAAAATCCGGGAGAAACACGAGCATCAGCAGCACCAAGGGCGACAGCAGTAGCAAAACATTGGCGTACAGCGCCAACCACCAGGTTGGTGACGATCCCAGAACCGGCTCCAACATTATAATCCTCCGCCGGTCAAAAGGTCAAACATACACGAATGTTCCGAATTACTCAATTTTAAGAAGACAAGACACTCCGACCATGGTCGATGTTTCATTGTCGATATCTTATGATACGCTAAAAACAAAGAAATTATTGCGTCTTTAATAACAAAATAATAAAAAATTATAGGCTCTATACAAAATTAAAATAAATTTTTATAAAACTATCATATATATATCAAATTAAACAAAAACCAAAAATAAATGAAAAAAGTTACATATCGTAGATTCTAGAAAGTTAAAACAAATAAATCTATAATATAACATTTTTCATTTATTCTTGTTTTGTAATTTAATATATGTAGAATTTTATATATTAAAAATTGTGTAATTGTATACATACAATTGTGTAATTTTATATATCTAGAATTGTGTATTTTATATATATAAAATTTTATAGTATATAAGAATTGTATAGGATAAGTATCTGTTCGTTTGTGTGTGTGGAGTGAGATTTTACTCGAAGAAATTTAGATCAAGAGGCACGGTAGTGCCTCGCGCCAAGTATATGCGCAAACGAAGTGCGCGCGCGTTGCGCGAGGTACCGTGCCTTATATACGCGAAAATGGCCAAATGGCAATATCGAGATTTTCCGATCTCAACAACGGCTA